TAAATAAATCTACAGCAGCAGAGTGGTTCTGATGACAGTGAAGTTATCTTAGCAACATGGTTCAAAGCAGCATGATACTGTTAGCAGTGAGGTTCGGTTAGTGGCGTGGTCTTGTTAGCTGTGTTAGCAGGTCTTGTTAGCAGGTCCAGTTAGCAGCATGATGATGATAAGGACCGCAGCAGCTGCCTCCCAGACTGCGCTCCAGAATCAGGTCTGGCAGACAGAGAACATCCAAGGTTTCCCCGCGGAACCGAATGGGTCCATAGAGTTTGGTCTGTGCAGGCAGATGGGGGATCATGGAGACAGCCGGCAGGACAGGCCGGAGCCCGAGATTGGAAGGACTGAACCACGATGGCAAGTCAGCGACACAGAAAACTCCACGTGTGTTGAGGTCATACCCGTACTGTGGATGTGCATTGTAGGCGCAAAAAATTGTTAAAAACAACAGGAACAAAAAAAGATCGAGTTCACCAGGAGCCGGTGAAGCTGCGGCTCAGCTGAGCTTGACCATCTTGGCACGAAATGATTGTACAAAGAAGGATTCTTCATAAAATGAAGAACATTATAGACGACCCTCAGCATCCTCTTCATCAGACTGTCATACAACAACAGAGCGCCTTCAGTCAGAGGCTTCTTCAGATCCACTGCAAGACAGACCGCTACAAGAGATCCTTCCTGCCCACAGCCATCAGCATCACAACTCTTTAATGAAACCAGGATGATGAGTTACAACATTTAATTTCCCTTTGGGATTAGTAAAGCATTTTTTTAATTGAATTGAATTAATTAGGACCATGTATTGACTTCCGTACATTTATATTTCTGTAGTGTAACCCTGACCCTTACCCTAAAAAGTACATACCAGACCTTAACCCTAAATTCAATTCATACCTTAGTTCTAAATTTGACTCCTAGCCCAAAAATGGCTTTACGCCTCCCTATTAGGACCAGTCTTTGGTCCCCAAAAGAGCTACTGGTCCTGACTAGGTAGGTGCTTGTACCAGGAAAGGTCCTGAAAAGTTAACAAAATCCAAGTACACACCACACATGCACATGGGCAAAACATAATCATCCTTTAACTTTGAATGTGGGGAATAATCTTGAGGATATTATTTGTAGATTTAATGACAGAAATAAAAAGTGTAACATAGTGCTAATTTTGAGAAAAACAGCTTTAGTTGTCTAACAAGGTTGAGTCAAGTCCTCTGGATGGATTTTTCATTGTTGAAACATTTATTTATTAATTTATTATCCAAAAGACTTCTTCAGGCTGAAGAAGTCTTTTGGATAAATGACGAAACGTGTTGTTGAAACGTTTTTTCATTTATAAATAAAAAAGATAAAAGATGAAGCGTTTCAACAAAGAAGAATCTGTCCAGAGGACCGGACTCGAATGTATATGTGTATATATATATATATGTATATTTATCTACCTGGATTATTGATTATTATCCTGGTCTTCTACCTTCATATATGTCCTCCTACATGTCACGCCATCAGTGCAGCTACAGCATGCACTGAGGAAGTCTTTCGGATGAAAGATGAAACGTTTTTACAATTTTTTGTTTTATTTGTTTGTTTTTTTTAATGTCCAGAGGACCAGATTAAACTTTTTTTTTAGATTTTTCTACCTGGATTATTGAGCATGCATCAGGATACTTTTATATGATTGTTTTATTGTTGTGTACCTCATCTGTGTTTTTGTTTAAAAACAGGTTTCTCTTTTAAATGAGTCCTCATGACTCAATGAGACTAACCTGCATAAATAAAGGTTGGATGAATGAAAATTAAGCATGCATCAGGACAGCTTTGGTTGTATTTTTTTTTTAATTCCTGTAAATATTTCATTAAAAAAAATGTCAGTTTTAATTAAACCAGAAATTAGAGACAAATATTTTTTCAAAATAAAGTTCTAAGAGAAAGTTAAGTGTTGAAATCATTATGAACAGGTCAGAGCTGCACAATTGGAAACCGATATCAGCCTACAATTCATCTCTAAAACTCTGAGAATTTATCATCATCTGCAATTCATGACCTCAGCTTAACACCACACGCCTAGTTTATCTGAAATGAACCCATTTATTTCCCCGTTTTTATTTTAACTACCAGATATGAACTATGTCTAGTATGTACATTTACAACAGTACTCATCAACACAGATGAGGCTGTGTTTAATCCGACATTTAAAAAATGACGTAGCACATCCCTTAAATGAGTTGTGTGTGGGTGAAAATGTTGGGTATATGAACAGTCTGTATTTATGAATATTAACCTTTCGCTGACGCTTGTAATTTGCTGAAATACAGTGAACACTTCATGACATGTCATGGCTGACTCTTCACTAAAGTGAGTGTTTTGTCAATGGTAAGGACACGTTGTACCAGCATCTCTCTGTTAGCACTCTGAAATGAAAGCACAGGGGGCTGCTTTTCAGTGAAAAGGTTTTACTAAATATACTCAATCTTCAGAATGAGTCACAGTTAGTCACCAGCTCACCCTCTCCTTGGATTGCCGAGTAAACCCACATAATGGACAGCTAAGGTTTTCGTATACAATATGATGGGTTCACATCACAGTCTATGAGCAGATTTCTGTGCGTCAATTTTCTGTCATTTACAGGAGGCGTACACCAAGCAGTCAGTCACACAACACTGGTAAGATAAGAGGTAATTATTATACAAACAAAACATGAAACGTTCGTTACTGAAGCTCTAAAGTCACGATGATCTAATCATCACTTTACAAACACAAAACATGAGGTTAGCTCAAACCAAACCTCCCTGAGTCAATAAATGACATAACCTAAAGATCAGTTCAATGGTAAGATGTAAATCTTAAAGTCATAAACTTGTTCTTTGACATAAAGTCTAGTCAGACAAAAGAGGAAAAGGTTATGCAGACGTTTACACAGAAAGATAAAAACAGTTTGTAATGTGGTCATTTGAAGTAATGACCAAAACCACAAATAAAATCATGCTAAAGAAAATACAATTATTAACTATACTAATATTTTCTAAATTTTCATCAGCCATATTTTCAACCACTGAAGTAATCTCTGAATCCAAGCAGAGTATGAAACTTTTTAATCAGCTGTCCACTTTAAAAAGAATCAATCACACTTATTGGCTTTTTTTAGAAGGTGTGGACTACTTCTTCCTGTAATAATTAGTATTTTTCACGCAAAGGTTATTCTGACACTCTTGTCACCTTAGCTCATTAACAGTAACCAAACAGAAAGTTGTAATTAAAGCTACAGACAAAAGTATTTTGAAAGTGGTTTTGAAAAGAAAAAAAAGACACTGTGGCTTTCTGAAAATACAAGTTTCTGTGTGGTGTAATGTACAGTAACATGTTAACACTCTCACACTGATGACAAACACAGCAGTATTTTTCTTCATGCGTCTCGAAACAACTAGTCAAGTCATTTCCAGTTGTTGAACTGCATGTTTTAGGTGACTCCACAGACCGTGACTATCTCCTAACCCCATGACCTCTTTCACAAAGCCCTCACTAGTCATCCACTGTAGCAACACCTGACAGTGTTTCAACAGTTTGTGGTAAATTCATGCAGCCATTACAACAAAGCTGAAAAAGACAGAACCAGAGTGCCGTGAATTTTACAATCAGAAGGTATGACTTAAATCTGCATTTAAACTATCCAGAACATATTTGTTTTGCGTATTAAATAACATTGTTGGAGCAAACAAGTGACAAGTATTAGTTTTCAAAAGCAAAGGAATGCATATCACATGCCAGAGTTTCAAACTAAACCTTTAGATGTAAAGGGACAGAATTAGCCATTTTGGTTAAACCTTTTGAAATGAGAGTTTGTGTAACTTCAGGCGATCTTGTGAGATCTCGAAAGATGTGATGGTGCTCGGAGAATGTGTTGAAGATAGCTCTCGGCTATTACCACACCTAAGTTTAGCACACCTGTAAAAGCTGAGTGAGTGCTAGCCATTTTTGTGTTGGCTAAGATCCATTAGCTGTAGTAGCCATCTAGATTTGTGTCAACTCCAAAAGTTCATCAGTTGTAGACGGAAACCCTCTGATAGTTTCATTTCAACTCGTCCAGAGGTTTATGACATTTGCTAATGCTATAAAAGAAATAATCTCACACACCACACAGTGGCAAAAACCATTATCACTTTAAGCAGTAGATGATTAAAAAAAATTCCTCCTCGTGTTCACGCTAGTATGCAAACAAGTATGATATATGAAGTTGACAAATTAATCTAGAAACTGATAACTACCAGTAGGTTTTTTTTTTTTGGTATTTTGGTGACACGGTCAGTAAACTAGATGGTAATTGAAAATTAAAATGATGGTTTAACACAATCCCAATTCTTGTCAGATACTTATATGTATAATTTTTATTCAATACCTTGCTTAGACTGGTTTTTCCTGTGGTGTAACAATAAGCGTTACCAGTACCACCCAGTATTTATTACAGAGTTTGTAAAGGGAGGCAGACTGTAAATATCCTGTAGTTTATTTGATATGGGTGAGCTCTACTGACACGTCTAAAGCTGTTTGCAACAAGTGTATTGTTGCTTAAGTGCATGATACGATGAGTTTTTGTCTTATGTGTTAAGAATTCATCAGAGGTTGAATCCCGTTTACATGTTCAGCCAGTTATGTTCAGAAAGTTTAACCCAGACACTCCGTGTTGTCTGTGACGCTTTCAAACTTTTTGGAGTTGCTGAAATCAGTTTCTTGTGATTAGACTGAACGAAGACATTTGCGCATGCGCAGAGGAAAACCCCACACATAAAACTGTTGCAGCATATCCGAGCATCACTTCACCGAGTCGACACAAACGCTAGGGACAGCAATAGCTCGTTCTTATTGGAAATAAAACAGACTTAACAAATTTAAATGCGTTTTAAAAATGTGGTGTTGCGCCCAACCGTTAATTCATCCAGCCAGGACTCTCAGAGAGTCTGCGACCACCGTTTCCTCGTATCAGAACCCAAACGGACCGGAAGCTCCATACTCACCTCCTAACATCGAAGGGCATGGTGTTTAGGTGTTTAATTGGCAACAAAAAAGAATAAAATAAAACAAAGGTCGGCTGTGTAGCTTTTTTCAACGCTACCGGTTGTTCGTCTGTGCCGGGCTGACGTCAGCTTAGGACGCTTTGCAAAATCCTATTGGCTGAGAGCTACTTCCTGTTTGCTCTGATTCTACTTCCGCTGGGACCGTAGCAACCACGTTAGCAACGGGATAGAAAGGGTTCTGTGATTTTATAAGTACTAAAGTATTTCTAGTGATGCTGTTTGTTCAAAGCAAAAAGATATTTTAAAAGACAGTAAAATTAAAAATGTGTAAAATTACCACAAAAGTGACTAAATTAACACGAAAAAATCAACTAGAGAATGAGATCTCAAGACTGCTGAGAATAGTTTAAAGAAGCAGAACACTAGCTAAAAGCTAAAATAAAACCCAAGCTAAAAGGAGCAAGCAACACACCAGCTCAAAGGCAAATGTAGCAAAATGCTAACTTAAATAGTACAAAGTTAGCAAAATGTAAAAAGTAACAAAAGTGGCCAAAGTAAAAGCTAAAAGTAGCAAAATAGTAACTATAAACAAAACGTAGCAGAATGTAGCTATAAGTAGCAAAATGCTAGATAAAAACTAAAGTAGCAGAACGGTAACTAAAACCTAGAATAGCTTAAGAAGACAAAAACAGCCGTAGAAGCTAAATCAGAGCAATATTTTTAAAGGAATAGAGTTAATATTCATGTATTTCTATGGCTTTTTTTATTTATTTTTTGCATAGTTTTTTTTTTTTTATATATCACCAAGTTTAAAAATGGCAACAATTTCCAGGATGAGGTTGAATGTTTTGAAATATGTGCTAAAATAGCACAACATATGCAAAACTACTTTCCACCATCCATCCATCCATCCATCCATCTTCTTTACCCGCTTCTTCCTTTTCGAGCCGTGGGAGTAACTGGTGCCCATATCCAGCAGTCACTGTGTAAGAGGCAGGGGACACAAGTTCATGTTTCTTTATTGTCATTCGCATCACATCTGGTACATGAGTTGGAACGAAATGGTGTACTCAAGGTCCCAGTTACACCCAAAATAGCAAAAATATAAAGTATAAATGAAATGTATATAAGGATCTAAGATATACACTGAACATTATGTTAAATAATAATAGTAATAAAATAATACAGTGTATTAAACAGCAGTCCAAACATGTGGCTGTAGAGAGTAGATGGGTATGAATGAATAGAGCAGCATGAGATAATCAGCAGCATGAGATCAGCAGCATGGACAATCAGCAGCACAGATAAGTCACACCAATGAAAGTGGCATTACAGTGATTTTTCTTTATTTATTTACTTATTTTCATTACAGGGATTTATAAGTCTAACAGCTTCAGGGTAGAAGCTGTTCCTCAGTCTAGTGGTTTCACACTTAATGCTCTGCAGCCTTCTGTCTGAGTGAAGCAGGGCAAACAGTGAGTGGGTCCTTCATGATGCAGGTGACACTCTTCCTGCATCTGGAGGTGTAAATGTCTGTGATGGTGGGGAGGCTGACTCCAAAAGACTTCTGTGCAGCCTTCACCACTCTCTGCAAAGCTCTTCTTTGTGCAGCCTCCATGCCACACTTTGATGCTGGAGCACAGGACGCTCTCCACTGCACACCTTAGGAAGGAGGTGAGGACTGAGCTTCCTAGACCAGCTTGCCTCAGCCGCTTGAGGAAGTAGAGGCTCCGCTGAGCTTTCTTGATCAGGCTGGTGGTGTTGTTTCCCCAGCCGAGGTTGTCATTCAGGTGCATGCCCAAGTACTTGTAGCTGGAGACCACTTCCACCGCAGATCCTCCTGTGTTGGGGGGCGGGTGTGTTTGCACTGTCTGAAAGCCACAACCATCTCCTTCGTCTTCTTCACATTGATGTGAAGGTTGTTCTTCCTGCACAAGTTCTCCAGGTGTTCCACCTCCTGCCTGTAGCTGGACTCGTCATTGTTTATGATGCATCCAATCACCGCTGTATTGTCTGCAAACGTTACAATATGACAGCCTGGATGGGTAAGTGTACAGTCATATGTGAGCAGAGTGAACAGGAGGGGCCTCAACACACAGCCCTAGACACAAGGGACACCCTAGACAGGTTGCAAGTCCATCACGAGGTCACATGGAGACAAGACAAGCAAACATTCACTCTCACTCACACCTAGGTACAATTTAGAGTTACCAATCAGACTGATATGCATGTTTTTGGTCTGTGGGAGGAAACCAGAGTACTTGAAGAAAACCCATGCATGCACGAAGGGAACGTGCAAACTCCACTCAGAAAGGTCCTGGGCTGGGATTTGACCCTGCGATCCTCTCACTGAAAGGTAGCAGCTCTATCAACTGTGCTTTAAAAAAAATAATAAAAAAAAACAGGAAAACAATAGCACAACTAATCTAAAATAAGTGTACTCAACAAATTATAGATATTAGATAATACTTAGGGTTATTTACTTCAATTCACCATGCTACTGCTACTATAAACCTCATGGCATGAATGTATTTTTCTAACCTTTAATGTTTAGGTCAGAAAGAATCACATTTGGTTTGGACCATTGTACTGCGCATGTGATTACGTTACTTCAGCTTCTGCTTCCTTATATCTGTCAGTCACTCGTGTTTTGGTTCTAGCAGGATTGCAGTGCCTCTTTGTTGTGGTAGTTTTCATGGCATTCCACAAAACTTTTAGGTTGTAATGTTTTTGGGTTCTGAAATTTTTTTCCACTTTGAAAGTAGCTAGTCATCCCAAATAATAACCAGTGACGCTGCACTTTCCACACATGCAACAATATATTTGTATATAATTTAATAACTAACAAATGCTAATTGGTAGTTGATTGTAATTTTGTAAGTCTTTCCTACTTTTACAGCTGTTTAGAATATGTAAAATTTCAGAAAACTACATGTCCTGGAGTTAATATATAAACTAGAGCCAGTCAAAATATGAGGCGTCTTCTCAAATTTGTGGATAGAGTGAAGAAAAGCTTTTTGTATGGACATTTCAATCAAATAAAGTTATTCTATTCTGAGTTAAGAGTATGTTTCCTGAACAAATCAGTAACACCACAGATCTGAGAAAGAAAACAGCACGTCATGTTTGAAAAATCTAGTCATCGAAGAAAATCCAGCAACTCAGTTACATTTTTGTTTTTTTAAACTCAACTTTTACTTATTCTCTGAACAAGCATGCATGTGACAAATTAACTTTGGTTGTTGAGATATTAAAAGACTGGACATGCCCTGTGTTTTCCCAGCGATGGCTCAGCTGTTGCCCGTAGCGACAATGACAGTAAAAAGACAAATGACATCAAGTGACAGCGAGGCTGGACTGGAGGAAATGCCTCTCTGTCATTTACTGTTTCACTTCCCTTTCTGGATGACATGTTGGTTTTTAGGCCACAACTGTGGGAAATAAAAACAAAGTGACCCTGGCTCTATTTTCAGAGCTCAATTTCAATGTTCTGGTACTCTCTGTATGACCAGTTTTGCATTCTTATGCTGATGCAAAAAAAAAAAAAAATCCAAAATAGAAAAGGTTTGTGACCAGAAAGAAAATGTATGCAGGTTTCGGCCACTTTAGATGTTCTGTAATGCAATCCTAAATTAAAAGAGACAAAGAGTACACCATTGAGATGTGTAGAATGTTGAAAAAAATAAAAAAACAGAATGCAATGATTTGCAAATTTCATAGATAGTCCATAGGTAACTAGTCCCTCCTCTTCTTAGCACAGAGGAAGTGGTGTCCATGGTTTTCAAAAAGAATTTCAAATTTTGATTCATCTGACAGTAAATAATATTGCACATTTGATGAAGCCTTCTGGATCGAAGGCAAAACAATTCAGCACAAAAAAGAAACTGTCCAGATGACCTGACTGAAAAATGTTGGAATATTGCACATCGTTTCCATCTATTTTAAATGAGCTTTGGTCCAGGGAAAACAACAGTGTTTCTGAATGGTGTTCACATAAGGCTTCTTTTTTTATTTTTTGACCGATAGAGCTTTATTTCAAAGTTTTGGGAGGAGTGATTTATGACAAAAGGGTGTCAGCAAAGGTCAAATGAAAAGTTTATAAGACAGCGGTGAGACCAGAAATGTTGTAAGGTCTGGAGACAGTGGCATTGACAAAAAAACAGGAGAAAGAACTGGAAGTAGCAGAAATGAAGATGATGAGGTTCTCCTTAGGAGTGACAAGGATGGATAAGATTAGGAATGAGATCATCAGAGGTACAGCACAGGTTGAACTACTGGGAGATAAAGTTAGAGAGACCAGACTAAGATGGTTTGAACATGTCCAGAGGAGGGACAGTGGGTATATTGGTAGAAGGATGTTAGAAATGCAGCTGCCAGGAAAAAGACAAAGAGGAGATATATGGATGCAGTTAAAGAGGACATGGACATAGTTGGAGTGAGGACAGAGTGAGATAGAGGAGGATGACTCGCTGAGGAGACCCCTGAAGAGGGAAAAGCTGAAAGAAGAAGAAGAAGAAGAAGAAGAGCTTTATCAACGTTTGTAGATAGCACAGGGAATTGTGTTTCCAGACAATGGTTTGTGGAAGTGTTCCTGAGCAGTGATGCTCCAAACACAATCAGACCTCTTTTTTAATACAGGACTGCCTGAGGGCCTGAAGCTCCCGGTCATCCAATATTGACTCTCAGGCTTGTCCTTTGACCAGAGATTTCTCCAGTTTCTTAAAATAGTTTGATGATAGGTGACGGGTAATGGTTAGTCCAACAAAGTTAATTCAGGTCCTCTGCATTTAAAAAAAAAAAAAATTCCATTTACACTTTTTTTATACAGGTAGTCTCATTGAGCCACGAGAACTCATTTTCAAGAGAGACCTGTTTAGGGAGCAGATGGGGGTTAAGGGCCTTGCTCATGGGCCCAGAGTGGGGCGATGGTTTCTTTTTGTTGAAACATTTTCATACAAAATACTTCATTGGTCCAAGGAGCCACAACAAACTCAGTCTTATAAATAGCACCCTTATAAGACTGAGCTTGAATTGAGGCTGACCTTAACTTTTTTTGGAATTTTGACCTGGATTACTGAGCATGAACTTTGATGTTTTGAACCACTTTGGCCATGGTTGTCTCAGACGAGTCGGTAGCGAAGAAGGTGCACTACAGAAACCATCTTAACACCATCAAACTTGTTGACCCACTATGTGAAGACACTATTTATAAGACTGAGTTTGTTGTGGCTCCTCGGACTGATGAAGTCTTTTGGATGAAAGATGAAAAGTTTCAACAAAAACAAACTGTCCAGATTTTTTTTTTCCATTTACCCTTTATTTATACAGGTTGGTTTCATTGAGTCACAAGAACTCATTTGCAAGAAAGACCTGTTCAAGGAGCATATGGTGTGGGTTAAGGGCCTTGCTCAGGGGCCCAGAGTGGGGCGAGTGAGGGTGGAGGCAGGTGTGGGTGTTTCACCTTCTCCACCGTCATTTTGATGTTGATGGTACTGGGAGTTGAACCTGCAACTTTCTGATCACAGGCCCATCTTCTAACCTCTGCACCACCACTCCCCCACTTAATTTTGTTGGCATTGTAACCTGGATCATTGAGCATGAACTTTGATATAATTGTTACTTTTCCCAATTTTTTATTAAGAAACCTTAATCTGAAACTGCTCCACTATTTTTAGGCACAGTTTTTCACAGACTGGTGAACCTCTTCCCATGTTTACCGACACTTCTGAGAGAGTCAGTTTCTCTAAAATACTCTTTTTTTATAGCCAGTCTTCTTACTGACCTGTTGCCAATGATAATAATTAAAATAAATAATAATCATAATTAGGGACAAAATTCTCCTCCACCGGGGATAGACTTGCAACATGAGGGTGTACCCTTCCTCTCGTATTTTTGAAATATGAAACTTAACAGTTTATACTTTTAAAAAGTACACAGTTATCACAGTATTTTTTTTTCTTCTTTTTTTGTGTATTTACTGTAACAGTTATATATTTTGCGATGTCTAATTTCTCCCCTAACTGTAACTCCTGATGACCTGATTAAAGACGCATTCACTGAGAGGACAGAATGTTTGGGTACAGATTGTTTTCAGGAAAGGTTTGACCCTCCTCCTGCGTAAAATGTGTAACATTCTTGCTTTGTTGCCTCACGGTTGACTCATCTTAGAGGAGCGTGAGTTTAAACCTGCAGAAGAGTTTTTGCACTCTGCTGAGACCGGTTCGTTTCTGTTCCCTCTAAGACCCCCTCTCCTCTCATACCAAGTTCATTTTTCTGAGGTTTGTGGTCAACCTGGGGGCCAAAGCAGTGAGGATGTAGATTCCAGCACCTTTTCAGATAACAGTAAAGCAACATTGACATCATGTTAGGTTGATGCACAGCTTGGGAAACTCTTTTGACCCATGCTTGGGTGTGTTTTGTCTGTCTGTCTGTTAGCAAAATATCTCAAGAACCCCTGGATGAATTTTTATGAAACTTGCAGAAAATCATCACTGAAAGTACATCTATAATTAAATAACATGCAGGCTCAATTTGATTCAAGATGGCTGCCACAGCCGACTGACTTTAAAAACACATAAATGGCTATAATTCAGTCAGTTTCACAGATGTTGAGCTAAAATTCATTGTGGTAGTAGCTGAGACTGTTCCACAAAACATATCCTGAGCATTAACCGATTGCACAAGGTGCATGTATAAAACTTTTCTCCTAACTATTCACTGTCAATTCAAACCCTGGCATGAACGGCTACCGGTGAAAATGCATGCTCTTAATGAAAACTCGGCCTTCAATGTGTCTGCATGAAAATGAATTTAATGATAGAAACGGTCGTTTTATTCTCCGTGCGTCAGTTGAGGTGAAACAGAGATGGGACTTTAAGTAGAGCACACAGTTTGCATCACTGCCGGTGCTTGTTTTTAACTCCAGTAAACAACAACAACCCGAAGCAGACGTTCTCTGGTTGTTGGTGTCAAACCACAAAGACGTTCAAACACGCTCCTGTTGTCATCACATGCACAGTGTCCATCAACAAACATCTTCCTGCTTCCGTGTTTATGAGACAGCCGTGTCGCAAAGTCTGAGTCAGCAAACCACACACACACAGACAAAAAGAAAAAGGGTTTCCCACAGCAACTGCATGTTGTTGGTGTACTTTTCCCCTTCTTTTCTTTCTTTATCATATACTTTTGATTTTGGAAGAGAAAAAATACAAAAACACTTCTTCAATTTGTCGTAGTGAGATGACACATGAAACAAAACTGAGAGGCTCTCCATCTGTTGTCTTCCTGGTAGTGGTGTTTTTGTTTCTCAGCGTGTGGAAATTTACTGGACTTCAGATTTCTATACAGTGATTAACTTTTATGGTTAGCCTTTGCTCTCGCAGCATTGAACACTATGTACCATCTACTAATAAAAACAAAGAATAAACTTTTATGGTTCCACGGCAGATATTTACTTATTATCTTGTTATTTGTCAACTCTCTGCTGAAGAGGCAAAATAGGAATTTAATTAAATACTAACATAATGGAAAATTTGGCAAATTCTTTATCGGCTCACAGATAGGCTGTTCACGTCAACACTCTGAAAATTAAGATACAGAGTGACTGTAATGACATGAAGAATAGATTACATTTTTGTGATAATGTGAAGTCAAATATATTGAAAAAGAACTTTATTTGAACAAAGCGCTTTTTCAAGATAATGGTGACTAAATCAGCATAAATATGAACATCAATAAATAAACCAAAAATTAAAAATAATAAATGCATACATGGAGCTTGCAGAATAAAAGCCAAGCTCTAAAAAAACAGTGAGAAAAAGTGATATAAAGCCCACTTCCAAAAAGTGAAGGCGGGCAATCATGTTTTTGCCTGTGCCAGTATGTGTTCATGAGTCTGTCAGCAAAATATCTCACGAAGCACTGGATGATTTGTAATGAAACTTGCAGAGTAATCACTGGGCATACATAGATCTTTGACAACAACGCTGACCTTAAACAATCAATACTTTTCATGGATATTTAGCTACATTTTTGTGTGGTAGTAGCTGAAACTGCTATTTCTACTACTATTAGTACTACTACTGAGAATGTTCCACAAAACATATCCTGAGCATTAACCGATTGCACAAGGTGCATGTATACAACTTTGCTCCTAACTATTCACTGTCAATTCAAACCCTGGCATGAACGGCTAATGGTGAAAATGCATGCTCTTAATGAATACTCGGCCTTCAATTTGTCTGCATGAAAATGAATTTAATGATAGAAACGGTCGTTTTATTCTTATTTATCAGTGTCAAACCACAAGACGTTCAAACACGCTCCTGTTGTCAACACATGCACAGTGTCCATCAACAAACATCTTCCTGCTTCCGTGTTTATGAGACAGTCGTGTCGCAGTCAGTCAGCAAACCACACCAAGTTTGAATAGTACTAAACTATTTCTTAGCAAAAGATGAGCGAATGTGTTAGTCTAAAACTCTGGTTTGAATGGTAGGCCTTTACTTTGTAAAAACAAATAAACATTCATTTTAATAACATTATATTATCAAAAGAAAGAATCTAACTTAGCACAACCAAGGAGCTTGCTAACTTGACACCATGCCAGCTCCGCGTGCCCGCGTACGTGCAGTACGTCGAAGTAGCAATGTCCCGCCTGTGCACGAGCGCTCGGTCATTGCCCTGTAGAACAAAATCGATGACGTCCGCATGTTTGGCAGGAAGCCAAGAGGGCGGAGCTCTGACGTCAGCAGGCTTGCCTTCAGCAGCTCCGCCATATATATGTGTCTTCCTAACCGCTCACCAGCAGAAGTTACTGTGTGAAGTTCTTTCTTTCTTCTTTTTTTTTTTACCTTTCAAAAAGGACCGCTGTTACTGAAACTTTATAAGAAAGGACCTTCTTGAGATAAGACTTAAAACTTTGCTATTATTTTCTGTGTTTTTATTTTTTTCCGTTTTAAACGAAGCTAATCGGAACAAAGGACTCGCGCGGCGCGCTTCTTTTCTCACAACTTGAAAGTCGCCGGTGAATTTTTATGTATTTGGATTTGACGCTTATATCCCGCTGTACTATGGTCATCATGGAGGTTCCCACTATCGACTGTGCTAGCCTCCGTGGCCTGTTGGAGGACGACGTCTCGGGCTGCCTGGTTCTGGACTGCCGCTCCTTCCTCTCCTTCAACTCGTCCCACATCACGGGCTCCACCAACGTGCGTTTCAGCACCATAGTCCGCCGGAGAGCCCGGGGCGGCCTGGGGCTCGAGCACATCGTGCCCAACGAGGACACCCGGAACCGGCTGCTGTCCGGTGAGTACCAGTCCGTGGTGCTGCTGGACGACCGGAGCTCGGACTTCAGCCAGGTGAAGAAGGACGCCACGCTGATGCTCGCCGTCACAGCCCTGTCCCGGAACCCCTGTGGAGCCAGTGTGTTCATCCTCAAAGGTGAGGAGAAAAGCTTTCTGCTAATGACATGCTAACAGCGGGCTAATAAAGGCGGGCTACAGCTGTCGCCCAGCTCCTTTAGTCAACAAACATCCAGAATAGCCTTTCGGGAGTTTGACTGTATCCCTGTAATCTGATATATGTCTTTATTTTTGTTCCAGGTGGATTTGACAGTTTTTCATCAGCACATCCAGACTTGTGTACCAAACCTTCCCCACCACAAGGTCTTAACTTGTCCCTGAGCTCCAGGCATCCTGAGAGTGCTGATCCAAGCAGCAGTCCGTGTAATACGCCTCTATACGACCAGGTTTGTGTTTTTTATTTTATTTTATTTGACCACACAGTGCACGTATGCTTTTGTCGCTTTACATCCCACTGCGGCGTGTTGGAGGTGACAAGTGTTTTGTTTGTGTTGCTTTCTGTTTAGGGAGGCCCTGTGGAGATCTTGCCATTCCTCTACCTTGGTAGCGCCTACCACGCGTCCAGGAAAGACATGCTGGACATGCTGGGGATTACCGCCCTCATTAACGTCTCAGCCAACTGTCCCAACCACTTTGAGGACTCCTTCCTGTACAAGAGCATCCCCGTCGAGGACAACCACAAAGCGGACATCAGCTCCTGGTTCAATGAGGCTATTGAGTTTATCGGTGAGTTTTTTCTCCCTCAACTGCCCCCGCTCCCTTTTTTTCTTCGCACCTTTCTTTGGCACCATGATTTAAATTTTAAGAAAGTTCCCACCAAAACTCAACGGGCTGGCTCCACATAGGACAATGGTGGTTACGTCATCGCCACCTCCGAGGCATAAAAAGAAAGGGGATGCCCCTATTTTTTATTAATGAATTGCGAGGCAGCAGCTCTGGACTAGATCCGTAGTGGGCAGGTTAGCTGCGCCTGATCCCCCCCCCCAAAGTTTTTGTTCTGTCCGAACAAAAGGACTGATTTCGCTTCACTCACTCACCCTTCCTGCCACTTCAATACCCCCTGTGGGGGTCTGTTCCTCTCTTTTGTCCATTCATTACACCTCCTTTAGGAATAACCCCCACCCCCCCCCCCAACAGCTCACGCCCTGCACAGCTATTAACTGTCTTCCTGTTTCTTAATGAGCATGTTTAGACCTTTGTGTTTGTTTTCTGTGCATTTGTTTACCTCACCCTAAACCCTCCTCTCATTCCTCCCTCCAGATTCTGTGAAAAACAAAGGAGGCCGTGTGTTCGTGCACTGCCAAGCGGGCATCTCGCGCTCCGCCACCATCTGCCTCGCGTACCTCATGCGCACCAACCGCGTGAAGCTAGATGAGGCCTTCGAGTTCGTCAAGCAGCGGCGCAGCATCATCTCCCCCAACTTCAGTTTCATGGGTCAGCTCCTCCAGTTCGAGTCCCAGGTCCTGGCCTCGTCCACTTGCTCCTCGGAGGCGGGCAGCCCGGCCATCGGCAGCGGGAACTCCGTGTTTAACTTCCCCGTGTCCATCCCGGTGCACACCTCCACCGCGCAGCGCTCCTTCCTCCACAGCCCCATCACGACCTCTCCCAGCTGCTGAGGAAGGTGCGGGCAGAACAGACTTCAGTTTCACCTCTGCTCGGAGCTTTTCACAAAACACTGATGAGATCACAAACTGTTTGTCCTTTCATGGTGATGCTGGTGTCACTGGACAGAATGGATGGTGTTGTGCGAGGCCCAGTAGATCATTTCAATGGGAGATTTGATATCTTCCACCAGGCAGTATTGATGTTTCCTTAATGTGAAAGTCCTCCCCAACCCTGCAGGACTCAGGAGAAGTCAGACAAAGATGGTCCTGTTTAGTGCATCATCTGATTGTGTTTGTTGTATTTTAATGAAGGCCTTAGATAATCACAATCATTGTAAACACAACAGAGAGGTCTGTTATCTCAGGAATGTTTACCCAGCCTCTCACGTCTTTTTGCTTTCTACACTTGCCAAGAGAGCAGAGTGAACCCGACCGGAGGTGGGGCTCCCTCAATCAATGAATGTGTCTCCTCTTTATCAGTAGACAAGTCTTCAATCTTCCCAGTTAGATATAGAGTTAAAGAGGTGGCAGGTTAGATTCCAAAGTTTTTGTTTTATTTACGTCTTCCTTAGACAACACTGACGACCCTGACGTGTTGGGTGAGCCAACGTTAAAATACCTCATGTGTTTTTCTGTACTGTGACAGAAATCCCCAAAACTATTAAAGACGGGGCGAAGACGTCTTTGTGACTGCATTATGACATATTTATTAACTAAAGTAATATATTTCTTTATTATATCTATTTTTACAAACGTTTGTTTTAAGTGTTTTTTTTATACGTGTGAATAAATCTTGATTTGAGTTTTTTAAGAACTTGTCTTGACTTTTCTCTTGACGTTATTTACCGTGCATGATGCAGTTTTTCACGAGAAGTTGATGACAGTTAAAAAAAATATTTTAACTTTTAATTTAAAGTCATATTTATGTGGCTAGAAATGACTAACTAAATATTTTTTATTATTTTCCAGTACGTTAAAGGTTAAAGGCCTAGTATTCCCTGAAAGACTTCAAATGATTGATGATTACTTTTTGGGAGTATCATTAAAATCCATCTGGTTCATGAGATATTTTGCTAACAGCCAAAATAAACACAAGCAGATGCCCTGTTTTTACTCTTCAGTATCAAAAATGTTTATTTCATGAGAAAAATGAAACTGCTTCAGAAACAGCAGCAGCCTCATGTTTGATTTTATTTCCTGTGATGGAATCCTGTATCAGGACTTCACCAAAACAAGGGTCGTGATGTCACGGTCTGGGCCATTGTTCGGGCCACACTCCCATCTGAAGCCAGCACAACAGCAGAAGGTCCCAAGGAGCCCCCGCTCCCAACCCCCGCTGCGACCACAAAAGAGGCAGCTGCAAGGCGTTTGGGAAAAGTGTGACGACTAAAGAGCATACGGGGCTCAGTGAAGCACCCGCCTTGTGTCTTGGAGGATGGGCTGAGATAAAAAGGAAACAAGTGCTTGGGTTGCAAATTAGCACCCCCACCCCACAAACAAAATATCAGCTGGGAGTCCCTGTAGGGTGGTGTGAGGGAAAAGACGCTAAAGTTCTTTGAGTACAGAACAACTAACTGGTAATCCAGGCGACAAAAGCAGAAATCCTAAAATTTGGACTAATCTGATCATCATCAACACAAACTGATGACCTCTCTGTGATGCATTCATTATCTCATCACATCCCCCAGATAAGATGTGCTTTTGGTGACATATGTGTCCCCCCCCCCCCTTCCCCCACCCCTTCACACCGTTTGGCTTTGTGTTCTTAGATTTCCTGTTGAAAGGAAGGAGGCTGGCAGGATTGTGTGTTTGATCTGAAGGGGGGCATTGCGCTGCATAAGATGAATGGAAGTGGTGCGTTAAAGTCTTTAAAGTGGAGTTTTGTGGAAAGGTTATGAACAAAAGATATCTTACCTGCTGCAGATAGGTAAATGGACTGTATATAGCACCTTTTTATCTCCTCAAGATACTCAAAGCTCTTAACACTACAATCTCTGCCCTCATTTACTCATTCATGCAAAACTCTACTAGATCTCTATAAAGAGACTAGTGTTGAAGTACTCGAGACCGGTCTAGGTCTCAAGACCACTTTTTGATGGTCTTGGTCTTGTCTCAGACTCGACCGCATTTTGGTCTTGTCTCGGGACATTGAGGACTCGGGTTTTTATTTCAAGACCAGTCACGACCACAACTGTGGAAATATCACTAAATTGCCATATTGTCCAGTTTATTTGTAAACATCTTTGTTTTGATTGGATGTAAAACACACTGATTCAAATCCAAGTGATAACGTGACTCATTGCTAAATACATGTTTTTGTTACCGCTGTCACGCCCACCCTCTTTCACTTGCACGTGGTTCTGTACCAACAGAACAATACAGACAACAGAACGTAACGTCGCAACCAGGGGTGAAGGTAAGCCGGTCCAGTCCAGTACTGTGTACCACTAAAAGATTGTCCTCGATACCTGGAAGAGAGGGGAGCATCTGTCTGCTGTAAAGCCTCATTCTGAACCACGGCTGCACTTTGGGTCAGAATAGATTCTCTAGCAATAATCAGTCTAAACCACGACTTAATCAGTTAAAAAAAAAAAGCTTTTTATTTCTCATTTCAAATAGTTTCTGAACTGTTCGTGCTCTGCTGGAGCCTCAATTCTCGACCGCGGTGAATTTAGTTTTACGTTGGACATTCGAGCTCCGTGGCTTCAGCGGTGTGTTCCTCTCGTTCGATCCGAAGCAGACAGTCTGATTTTGGTCAGCTGCACTCAGTCTGCCCTTCCTCCGTGAAGTAATGGTTCACTTAGGGACCGTCAACTAATTACTAAAACCAAACACTATTCAGAATCAAAAATGTATATATTTTGCATCATTTGATCCACTGACACAAAACTAATGTTAAACTAGACCTGGCACACAAGACACCATCATTTATTTCTTATTTTAAAGCATTTTCTAATTAGTTATTCAGTGAAAACCATGATTTTTGAATAAATAAATCATGTAAAATTAGAAAATGCTTTAAAATGAGAAATAAAAGAGGGTGCCCCGTCTGTCAGGTCTAGTGGAGTAGTCCAACATATTGTAAGTTTTGTGTCAGTGGGTCACATGACATGAACATTATTGTGCAAAAACCACTGAATGTCTGATTTCTTTGTTATGTAGCTTTGAAAATTTATAAAAGCCGATACATTCATTCAAAAGCAAACTTAAAGTTGAAGTATGTAACTTTGATAAAATATATTTTTATAAAAGTTACATATGTTTTTTTACATATTTGTTAAAACTGTCACTATGTCGTGACAGTTTGGTATAAGACAGATAATCTGTGAAAAGATTGAACTCCAAGACTTGAGGTCTAGGTCTTGACTTGGTCTCGGGTTAGGTGGTCTCAGGTTGGGTGGTCTTGACTACAACACTGACAGAATAGTCAGCGTGTTATCATATTCATACACTGATGGGATCGAAGGTAATGAGGGGTTCAGCGTCTTGCCCAGGAACATTTTGGCATGTGACTGCTGGTGGCATTGAACCCCCAACTCTTACATTGGAGGACGACTGCTCTAACCGCTCAGCCACAGCCGCCCCGAATACTGTCAGGAGTGTGAGTAAAAGAATATATCATTCTTAAAGCTAAAGGCTAGTTCAAGACTCAAGTCCAGACAGAACTCCATTCTACGAGCCGTTCGTGGAAGATGTGTATCCAAACCTTTACACCGCTGGTAATTTTATTTTATATGGTTATTTAAAATAAATATAAAGTACTCCTTTTTTTCATCTGAATATGTGAAGGATTAAGGTACAATTAAGGTAGGAATTTAAATGAGATTTTCTCGTTCAGTGAAAAACCTTACTGTTTATTTTAGAAATCAACATAAACTTGGTTTGAATGTGTTTTTTGTTT